TGTTGACACGACCTAACATGAGCTCATTTTCTTTTGTATCCCTTTTCATACCACCTATGTGAAGAGCACATAGATAATATTCGAGTTTTGCAATGAATTGGTTTAGGCTACATTATTTTTCGACACACCCTTTTTATCTTTTGATCTTAGATATCATTTAATAAATTCATTTTCACGGCATCACAACACCCTCTTTTTGACAAGAGAGGGGATTCTGGCATTCTTTGCATTTTTTAACATGTGGTTCGTAGTACATGCATGTTTTGCATGTTGATTTGCATTTGCGTACCTTTCTTTTCTATCATTTTTTATGACATTTGAACTTTTGAGTTTGAGCTTCAAGATTTTTACATTCCTTAAAAGCTCTTGATTCGCCATTGGTATGCATCTTTCTTGATTTTATCTTCTTTAGAGGATACTTGACTTAGTATCACTGCTATTAGGGCTTAGCTACAATGCATATGCTTAAAATGTTGTTTTATACATTGCTTATGTGTGCTGATGCATCAGGGCTCATACTTTTTTTTTAGTATGACCCTATTTTCTAATGCACCATATAGATCTAGGTCTAATGAGTTTGCATGCTAGTGGTGGTACCCGGATGACCCTTAGTTGGACCTATGATGATAATAAGGAAAAAAACATTATTATTTAGTTTGTTTGGACCAATAATTCAAGTTATCATGTTATTATCAGATCTCATAAGATCATTCCAAGCATAAGCTTGAGTTAACAATCATCATTCATCATGATGGGGGTTAGCCGATTTAGATGCTCAAGACGAGACCAGTTTGAAGACCCTTATACATTGCATTTAAACGTCTTACATTTAGATGTATACATAGACAATAACCTTGTAGTTTCTTTTTAGAATTAGGGCTAGGATGTATTAGGTTTTTTTGTACATATCCATTATCCATTGGCTTATGCTGGCTGTTATGCACTTTATGTACATTTTCCATGCTTTACCAAGTTGGAGACTTGCGTTTACAATTATTTTCAACTTGTGCTCGAAATTTTTGATGTAAATACCTTTAAAAAGCCCTACACTAATCCACATATTCCATAGAAAAAATGGAAGCAACATTTGACGCAAATTTGTGTTCGTAAGCAGTGGACGCAAAGTCCTTGGGTAATGTTTATGTTCGCACGAATCACATCAAAACTAGCTAAAGTTGATAATGTTGGATGCAAAATTTGACATTTTTATTTTTATTTTTTGCGTGAGCCATGGTCCAGACTAATTGCATTTGTGATACCTGTTTTGGCATTGACCATATGTATGACACAAATCCGCGAGTAATATTATTTTGTGTTGGATCTTTTACAATTTAGCAAAAAAAAATTGTCTGAAGTTGTTTTGGCATAATCCTGTAGTGATAAGTCAAGATATAATTCAAAGTAAGCTACATACATGATATCTTCTGCATTCATAATTCTTGCATTTATTTCTCTTATTTTTATCAGAGTTATCACTTTCAAGAAGAAATAGAATCGATGAACTAAATATGTAAATCAAAATTATGCTCGCATGAATTTCGAGAAAAAATTAGCAGGTTTCGCTTATGAACACCAAAGGACAATGCATTGGGACAATCAAAAGACGGAAATACCAAGCGTCGTTCCATTTGATTGGAATTCAAGCTGACCGAACAGATGCATATCAAAGCAAAGCATAAAAGGCACATAATTCGAGGGACAATCGTTCATAACCTGCTCCTTCATTGAGTATGGAACTCTTTATAGAGATAGTCAAAAGGCACCCTGCAGAACACCTTTCAGATCCTCTCAGAAAACCCCTTGTCTAAAGAGAGCCGCCCATCAAATTACGGTAATACACTCTATACCTGACGGACCACGTTCGCTCTAACATAAGAGGGCCTCTACTCATGATTCCATTAAGAGGGCCGACCGATGACCTCTCAACTAACCAAAGGTATGCTGAACAATCAAAAGTTTTCGGCTGACCGAATGATAAGATTCACGAGTCATTAAAAGCCCCTCTTTAAACAGTTATGAATACGAAATAGTGTCAATGTAAGTTATGAATATGAAACGGTCTCAGAGTCAATTACAATTATGAAAATGTGAAATAAGGGCTTTTAAACTCCCTATTAAAAGAAGGATAAACATGTAATTTTACTAAATATCCTTGAAACATATAAATAGGGGGTCATTTCTTTAATAAAAGACTACTTAATTTTACTCTCTCAAAACTTTTGTCAAATTGTTGTTGTGCACTCTGTTTCTTCTCTCAATTTCTCTTTCTTTGTTCCTCTCATTCGACCAACTCTCTATTCCTTAGGTATGATCGACATAACATATTTGGATTCATATATATATATATATATTTCCTTGCATATATATTCTATCATGGCATTTGTAAAAAATTGCACCAGGTACTCTACATGTATTGACCATATTAAAAAATCCATTAATTTTATTTTCAAAATTAAAATTTATATAATTTTAAGTTTTCAGCAAAACATATTCTACTTATTTTTACCATAATTGAAGCAAAAAATACTGTTAAGAATTTAATCTAACAAATAATAGTTATGCATATGACTCATGCAACTTGGAAATAGCTAGATAAATATTTTTAGTTATTAAATGAGAAAAGTTTTAGCTAGATAAATATTTTCTAACATTTTTTAATATACAATTTTGATTTATTTTATTATATTTTAAATGCTACACCTTTAAACTTAAATTTTTTTCTGGAATCTATGATAGGATTAAGAAAATATTTTCATAAACATGTAAAGGTGATAATGATACAACTACTCCTTTTCTATTATACACACCAATTTTCTAACTTTCTCTCTGAATTTGAATTGCACGACGCGCGCAGGAACAATTGTCCGAAGAACTAATACTCCAACAATGAATAAATGCTCTATTTTACAATTATTATTTGTGAATTTATAGAATATGAATATATATATATATATATATATAATAAAGAAATGACCGGAGGATATGATACTAGTCCAGACCATCGCTCATGCTCCTATAATTACCGTACCACACCTTACACTCGACACACACACACACACACACACACACACACACACACACACACACACACACACACACACACACACACACACACATATATATATAGCTCTTTTTTAATATTTCTTGTAATTTTGAAATTTTTATAATTATAATTGAAAAGTGAGAAAAGCATATCCTTAGAAGCAAAGATATATAGGCAAACAATGGCCAAAACTTGAAATATATTAGTTGTCATACTTATCACTAATGGTTAAAGAAGTTCTATAAAAACTCTCAACTCTTTGGAAATACTTGAGTGTAGTCTCTTTCAAAAAAAAATTGAATCGTAGTTCTTGACTAATATTTTTTAAAAAAGTTTCTCATAAAGAAATAATGTGAATGTATATGCAGACAAGGGTTCAGATGAGCCTAAAAAAAATTTACATTCATTGGGGATAATATCATCTCGAAAGGATGAAATATTACGTCTTGTCCGCATATACATCTACCAGACATAATATCATCTCTGTCAAATAGATCTACGTAATCTCATGATAGCCTAAAACTCTATATTAACATAAGAAGAATAATACATCTATTTAATGTCATTTAATCTTTCGTAAAGAATACAATTGTTGTCTATCATGTAAACCATCTATTCTGACACCGAATGAATAATGTGTGATTTAAAAAGCATAGAAAAATAAATGTTTAGGCAAAAAAATTAATACATAACATTAGAGATCAAAATAGTTGACAATAATAACATATTGTAGGGGAAGAAAAAAATATTTGGTTCATGAAATTCTTCATGTGCATGGCTATCACTAAACTATGCAATTCTTCATCTATAGAGTTGACAAGGACTTGTCATAGAAGCACAAAGAAGAATCTCTCAGCATAATATGCTCAACAATAAATAACATTACATGACAAGTTTTATTAAATAAGAGAGAGAGAGAGAGACATTAGAAACGATCTTATTGTGACAGCTCCAATCATTTGACACAACAGCAAGGCTATCTTTTTCAAAAACTCGGTTTTTGTCAGATCATTAAGAATCTAATCTATAATAAATAAAATTTTAGCCAGATGATGATTGTTAACTATAATATATATATATGATATGT